CTCTCTCTGTTAAGGGACAGAAAAACGGAGAGGGGAAAAGCAACCGCACGCACGGAAGCAATGGCGCTAAGATTCCCCACGCAGCTCGTGACGCGTGGCGCGGTCCACCACAACCACGACCACGCCAAAACCACCACCACCACCGCCGCCACCGGTAGTTCGCTCTCCTGGCGGCGAACTTTAATACCGGACCCTCTTGTCTCCTCCACCGCACTCCCCAGTGAGCTCTCTCAATTCTGCTTCTGTAATATTTTGTTATTCAGCGTTGATAGCACGACATCATGATTTTCTCTTTTTTTCTTCTTTTGAGGAAGGGAAATGTCATGTGCAGTGGACGGTGAAATGCAGTGCCAGTGGCACTTCACAGGCGATGAATTTAGCGCCGGGAACGCCGGTGAGGCCGACCAGCATACTGGTGGTTGGTGCTACGGGGACACTGGGGAGGCAGATTGTAAGACGCGCGCTTGATGAAGGCTACGACGTGAGGTGCCTTGTGAGACCTAGACCTGCGCCGGCTGACTTTCTTCGTGATTGGGGCGCCACCGTTGTTAATGTAATTTCGATCATTGGATTCTCAATTTCTATTGATTTCTGTGAAATTTTTTAGTCTTATCTCTAAATGCAAAGCATTTTGGAGCAGGCAGATCTTAGTAAACTGGAGACGATTCCGGCGACATTAGTCGGCATCCATACCGTCATCGATTGCGCCACCGGCCGTCCGGAAGAACCGATAAAGACGGTAGGGTTCGTTTTGAAGAATTATGTTCAGGAATTAAGATAGTCGGAGCCATGGTTAAATTCTGCTTCCAATTTTCTGAAAACTGCTATTCATCTATCTGGTGATCTCAAAGGTTAATTGGATGCTTTACATTCTGTGATTCACCATTGTTGATTGATTGTTATTAGTTGCTTTCAGAATCTGCTTTCACATGGTGGGGTAACCATTTCTCTGTTTCCCAATATACATGTATATAATTCAAGGAGGCTAAAAGTGTTAGTTAGAATTACACTTTCAACAAAATGTTGATCCTTACTCCATTCTATTAGAACCTCGAACCTCTACTTACTTTTAGCTGATAGCTTACACCTGCTTACATGCAATGAATATGGTGGATAGTAAGTTACGTTATTGCCTGAATTGGATTGAGAAACTGATGGGGTGTTGATGGCATTTTCTTCATGTTTATTTTCCATTTTATAACATAATTGGTGGTATCATTCAGTTGGTTTGATCTTCCAACTGACTGATGACCAATTCTGGACTCAAATATGCCTTGGTTAAATGAAGAAGTATCAGTGCTTGACATATCTAAGAATGGATTGCAAATATCTGTGAATATTGGTCTCATTTGTAGTTATTTTCCCATGTACTGAAAACTTTTCCATTTTGGCTTATTCAAATTTTCTAATGTATCTGTTCCATTTAGGTAGATTGGGAAGGAAAAGTTGCTCTCATACAATGTGCAAAAGCAATGGGAATCCAGAAATACATATTCTATTCCATCCACAACTGTGACAAGCACCCTGAAGTTCCATTAATGGAGATCAAGTATTGCACAGAGAAATTTCTTCAGGACTCAGGCCTAAATCACATCATTATCCGTTTATGTGGTTTCATGCAAGTAAATGTCGTCAAAACTGAAATTCTGAATGTGTTTTTTGTTTTTTGTTTCTTGTTCCCCCAATTGATGGTTATTTTTTCGTGGTTGATATCTGTCATGTTGCACCTCTCTGCTGCTTAAACCCTGACCGCTGAAGAACGAGATGAAGAAGGAAACTTCTTTTCCCCAGTTAATAGATTAGAATTGTTATCTGAAGATTTATGACTGAACTTTTATAAAATCAGTTTCTTGTGATGCCCTTTTGATCTGGAAGCTACTAAATTGAGAATGCCAGAAGGCTGGTAATAGGCACAGATTAATAACAACCATAAAATAGAATGCATAACAAGAAAAATAGTAATTTGTTTAGGAATCTATTACGGTTTACTTCCTGCATGTACAATCATGTAAGCTTATATTAGAGAACAGAGTTGACATGTATTCATTAAAAAAGAACCTAACATCTAGTTAGGCCAGACTTTTTTGTCTACATTACAGTGAGCATAGATGAAAACTATGTTCCATGTAATTGTCTGTATTAAAATATCATATGCATGTGCTTGAAGATGTTTCTTTGCCTTTAATGGTCCTATTTGCCTCCTACTGAGTAGAAGTGCTCCTTGCTGATTTATCCAGGGTCTTATTGGGCAATATGCAGTACCTATACTGGAAGAGAAATCTGTTTGGGGAACAGATGCTCCAACACGAATTGCGTATATGGACACCCAGGTTATATTTGAATAATTGCTTGCCTGACTAGTTTGATCGAAGGATCTGGATTCAATTATTATTCACTCCACGGTATTTTGTTTTCTTTGGCTTTAGGATATAGCCCGGTTGACATTTATAGGTTTACGCAATGAGAATATCAATGGGAAGCTTTTAACATTTGCTGGTCCTCGTGCATGGACAACCCAAGAGGTATAAGAATCATTCACCTTTGTGTAGGGCCAAGGTGCTTTTACTAATATTTTCTCATGATCCTCAGACTTGTTTCAATTGAAAACAATTTGATTGTTTTTAGCTTTCTTTCTTGGACAATCCTTTTAGGCTAAGGCTTTTTTCAGCCTTTGCTTTTAATGCTTTGCATGGGTAATTTTTTAGCGTTTCTTGGGAAAATGTGATCATATCAGATTATCAGCTTCTGTAGATTGATGGTTCTCTTTCTTTCCCTTTTTTTCCCTGCCTAATCAAATGGTTATTGCCCTTTGATAAAGTTAAATAATGCAGTTGGTTGTTTTAGGTGATCACACTGTGTGAGAGGCTGGCAGGGCAAGATGCAAATGTTACTACTGTCCCAGTTTATATCTTGAGATTGACTCGTCAACTGACTCGATTTTTTGAGTGGACAAATGATGTAGCGGATAGACTGGCATTTTCAGAGGTAACACATTCTTCTGTCCTCTTCTGATGTATAACAAACAACTTGAATCTGTCATCTGCTCAACATGCTCTGGAGTCTGTGGTCTGGAGCATGCAGACATAATTGAATTCTATTTTTCCCTTTGTAAAACTCTGCCTGTTTCTCTGTCATATTTCAAGTGTACTGATCTCTTGCATGTTTCAGGTTCTTACAAGTGATACTGTTTTCTCAGTTCCAATGGCGGAGACATATAACCTTCTTGGTGTTGATTCTAAAGATATAGTGACACTGGAAATGTATTTGCAAGATTACTTCACAAACATTCTAAAGAAATTGAAGGACCTCAAAGCACAATCAAAGCAAACCGACATCTACTTTTGAAAGAGTACCAAGTAATTGAATTCCACAACAATCTTGCATTCTATTTTCCAAGGTTAACTGATTCTTTCATGTGAGATGATCTTGTATTTGTAGTTGTTAATGATTTTGCACTTTTATTTGACATGTTTTATATGTTAAAGGGATCTAGATTCTGATACTCCCAAAAGAGCCTTGCAATCAAAATTCTTATTGTTATGTTGTCTTTTTTGAGTTTTTGGAGTTATGGAGGGAATCATTTGGTGTTACTGACATGTTGAAGATTGGAGGTGTTGAAGAGTGGAGACCCTACCCTTCAGTTAGGTGTTAAAAAGATAGAATGATGATTGTTAAGGTGGGTCGCTGTAAACAACCCCACGAGTTTGGCCATTCATGAATGCACTGCGAT